AATTTTATTACTTTATACAATGTTGAGTATGAAAATATATTTTAATCTGTTGGTTTACTTGTTCGTAATAGAAGCATGTCTGGAACACATCCTTTTTTCGACTCATCACAATTACATGTAAAGATTTTTGAATACTTTTAATGTTATGATAATGATATATTATACGTTAACAAACGTTAAATCCTGTAAATCGGAAATAAAGCAATGGATTTTTTCTCATCCGATGGACATGTAGAAAACAAGCTAAAGGTTTTCTATCAATAGTAGAAAAGCACAAAAACTGCTGTTGGTTACATTCAACAAATCATGTGAAGAATTTTGTTACTATGTCATTAATATTAATGAAATTGGTTTGTTCCACTAAACGACAGAAACATTTTTAAAAAGGATTTACTAAACCATCCGACTATTTTTCGTCTTATTAATCAATAACACTTGAAATTTCACCACAGTCAGCGAGGTAAACGTCTTTTTTAAATTCAGAATTAAGAACTGATTAAAATTTCACATAATTAATTGTTAGAATTTGGAATTTAGATTTTTCTACTCAATCTTTCAAATTCACTTGACTATCATTATTGACTGGTATCATTATTTAGCTAATTCACTCATTTGACGTAACAGTGCCTTAATACAGAATAAAACCATTTAACTAAAATTAATATATTTTTGTTTAGTATTTGAAAATTAATAACGAAAGATTTAAAAAAAGAATCGGAGTAAATTACTCTAATTTTTTTGCGAGCCGTTCGATGGCACGTCTCATCTAACTTGTCCAACTCTACTGAATTTTTGAAACGATCAAGTCTCCGGTTAGAAGCCAAATGTTCTATGGACTATTTCTAGGCTAATCTTAGAGATAGGGGTCGTTTTACTCGTAATAACATGTTCCAAGAGGAAAAATTTTTTTACATGCGTTTCAGTGGAGGTGACACCTTTTTTCCATGATTAACATATTAAAATTAAATCTATAAATATTATATATTTAGATACAATTTTAACATGTAAACTGCCCCTCACGATAGAACTTTTTTTGAATTTTCGATATGTTGTTCTGGATAATAGTATCAAATTACACCTAAATTTTTGACG